CGACCACCATGACCACCACGACGACCACGACGACCACGACGACCACGACCACGACGACGACGACGGCCACGACGACCACGATCACGACCACGACCACGACCACAACGACGACGACAACGACGACCACCACCACCACCACCACCATCACCACCACCATCACCATAACCATCACCATTACCATCACCATCACTATCACCATCACCACGACCGCCACGACCACCATGGCCAACATGACCACCACGACGACCACGACGACCACGACGACCACGACCACGACGACGACGGCCACGACGACCACGACCACGACCACGACCACAACTAGGACCACGACCAGGACCACGACGACGACGACGACGACGACGACGATGACGACGACGACGACGACGATGGCGGCTACGACGTTCACGTGCGCTCTCGCCCGAATGCCGGCCACTCCCTGGTTCTCGCCTCACTGCTGGCCAGTCTCGGTCTGGCCGACCACCTCTCCCTTTAGCAAGGAGAGGCCCCCGGTGCGGCGCTGATCCCCCTTCGGGAAGGGGGACGTGCCGGGGGGAGACACCGCCCCCTCCCTTCAAGGGGGGTACCCCTTGGGGGGACATTCTGCTGTCAACCCAAACACGCACATTTTTGAAAGGAACCGCCCGTTTGGGCCACTTGTGCTTGGGTCGCCTGATCTACCCCACTTCCTATTGGAAAACCATTATGTTTCAGAGTACTTATCTGGGTTCGGCCTTTTTCTTTTTTAAAACGTGTTTTTCGAGCCGGGAGGCCGAATCCAAAAAATAAAACACGATTCAATTTCAGAATAATTGTGCCTGTGGTCACATTGGCCCCAGTTCCTATTGGAAATCCAATACATTTGTTCGACCTGTCTTCGATCGCACTTTCGGGGGAAATCTGCGCGCGATGCGACCCCGGCTCAAAGGCCGAATCCAGGAGGGAAGGCGCGAGTATATTCGAAGAGGTGCGCCTGTCGTCACATCGGCCCATGTTCCTATTGGAAGTCCAATACATTTTTGGGTGTCTGTTCTCGATCGCGCTTTCCTAGGAAATCTGCGCGCGTTGCGACCCCGGCTCGCGGGCCGAATCCAAGACGGAAAGCACGACTATATTTGAAGAGGTGCGCCTGTGGCAACGTCGGCCCCAATATCGTATTGGAATTCCAAGACACATTTGTTTGGTATGTTCTCGATCGCGCGTTCCGGGGATATCTGCACGCGTTGCGACCCCAGCTCAGAGGCCAAGTCCAAGATGGACAGCACGATTATCTTTGAATAGTTGCGCCTGTAATGACATCAGCCCCGATTTCCACAGGAAGCCCAATACCAATTCATTGGGTATTTCCCTCCCCCCCCCCTCCCTTCCCCACCTCGCCGCGCCGCCTTGGCTCAAAGTGGGTTCTCTTGACCCTCCCGCTCGCGGGGCGCCCGAGCGAAGCGCGAGGCTCGACGCGGCTTGCCGCTCGTCGAAGGACGCCTGCTGACACTGCGCGGCAGTTGGAGTTCAGGGCTGGCCGGGCCGCAGCAGCAAGGGCGTTCAACGCCCTTGCTGAGACCATTGGTGTCGAACCAGTGCCCACGCGCGCAGGTAAAGAACAGATAGTGAGCTTGTGGAATGTTCTGTCGGCGCGACTGCCGCCGGACTCTTTGCGCGATTTGCGTGCGGCACGTGACAGGTGGGTTGAGAACCATGGTGGCGGTGATTTCCCTGGGCCTGGTAGCACGGGGGCCGATGGGGAAAATGTTGCTGCGGGCGACCCCACTCGCGTAGCCGGCGATTTCGTCGACATGCACAGGGTGCCCCCTCAGACGTTCTACGCCGGGTTCGGGCGCAAGGCGTTCAGCTTGACGTCGCAGGCATTTTTGCTCACGTTCAACTCGCTGAACTTATCCGATGGCGTGGACTTATGGAGGGAGTTTGTGGGGTGTTACATGTTCGTTTTGGGGGCCTTCCCACAGCCAGTCGCCGCCCTCGTGCGTCGATGTTGTGTCGAACGTCCGTCGACGCTGCGTCGAACCCGAACCGGCGGCGCCCCGCGAGCTCGGCGCGGGTAGGTCCTCGAACTTTCGAACGAGAGCTTTCCGCGCCCTTTCGCTCCCGACAGGTTGCGATGCCAGTCGCGTTCTTTCCTATACATTTGGCGCCGCGCCGAGGAGGTGGCGGGTGGGGGTGGCCTTCTAAGAAGGCCAAAGGCTTCTTAAAAGGCGCCGCCCCTCTCACAAATGTCCCGAAGTTTCTCAGAAGCCTCCCCCAAACCCTGCCAGTTTCGAGAAAGCCCCCTGCCTTCATAGATGCCCCCTGCCTTTTTAGACGGCTGCCCCCCTCGCGCCACCCCCTGGCGCATTGTTTTTCAACGGTTTGGGGGTTTGCATACTTTGTGCTCTTTCCCGACGGCCCAAGACAGCCCAAGAGGCCATCCAGATCGCCCCAAGAACGTCCGAGAGGCCTCCAAGATGGCCCCAGCACGGCCCAAGAGCGGCCCCAAGAGAGCACCAAGAGAGCCCCAAGGCAGTCCCAGGCGGCCTCCAAGACGGCTAATATGGCCCCACTGAAGGACCCAAGGCGCCTCCAAAACGCCCAAAGTGCCCCCAAGAGAGACCGAGATAGCTCAAGACGCCTCCATGACGGCCCGAGGTGAACCCAAGACGGCCACAGACGCTCTCCAGGATAACCCAAAAAGGCGAAACTCAAACAATTATTTCGTATGTGTTGAAAAATGTGGGCGTTTTCTCTTGCTCTGCCTTTCGACGGTCCTCTTCCTCTCCCAAGTGTTCCCCGGAGGGCTTCCACAACGGCCAGGGGAACACATGGCCCGATAGCGTGGCCGAGCTCCGGCCGCAACGTTCGGCCACATAGGCGCTTCTGAAAGGCAGGGGGCGACGGTGCTTCGCCGTAGTCGTCTTAGATACATGTTTGCCACTTCCTCAGAACAGATCTTGGTGCGAAATGAATGTCGATAACATTGCCCCGCCAAGGGGCCCCGAAGTAGCAAATATTCGAAGGCCTCATGGGGGTGCAGGCGCGGCAGTTGTGTGTCTGCGCTCAACGCACGCAAGCGGCGTGAACAATGTCAGCAAAGCAAACAGCACGTGACCGAGAATATGGGGACTCTCGCGCAATGAACGATGCTAAACCACCGCGCGCACCCATCAGGTCGGCCCGCGGGTGGAACACCGATTTGCGGGTGCAGTTGTGCCAAAAGGCTGGGCCAATCAGCAATTGGCAAGTCCTGCGCAAGAGCTACACCCACGCGCGCATGGGGCCAGCAGCTGGCTTTGGAAGGCTCTCCGCCTCCACGCCGAGCCATGGAAGGGCGCGCGGGTGCATGGCGTCCCGCCCGACGAACGCCACGATGAACGTTCCAACAACGTTGGCGGGAATCAGCAGGTCGGCGAATCAGAAGAGGATGTGTGTCACGACCATCGACATCACCAACAAGAGCGCCCACCTGTGCTACATCGCCTTTGACACGGGTCCAACAGAACGAACCGAAGTGCTCGGCCCAGGATTGCCCTGGCCGGGACGGCGGTGGTTTGAGCCACATTGGATGCGGCGTGTTGGCGGCCAGTGTGTACCCAAAAGAGAAGTTACCAACGTTATGTGGTGTGAGCTACGTTGCTTGAATTACATGGCGCAATCCACGCGGCGCAAGCTAATTACGCGGCGCAAGCTGCGCGGCGCAAGCTACGTGGTGCAAGCTACGCTGTGTAAGCAACGTGGTGTAGATTGGCCGATCCAACTCATTTAGAACGCAAGCATTGTTAGGGGAATATTCCTCGGCCCGTCGACTTCATGTCCGCCGCCGCACCGCGAGTGCCGAATTGGGCGCCCCTTGGCCTCGTCGAGGCCTGTCCTGCGAGCGTGCCCGAAATTCTGCCCCCCCCCCCATGATGGTTCATCGCGCCAGCTGGCCCCAGGAGTGCCCACCTCCCCTCATGCCCCCAGGATGGTGCAACGTTAAAGCTGTCTTGCGAGCGCTGCGAGCGCGGACGAAACTCCGGGAAACGAACTATGCCCACCGACAGCCAAGTCGCGCGCCAACGGAAGCGACCCCCAGAAAACTCTCGGCGGGGATGGCAGCTGCCCCGGACTCGGGGGGGGGGGCGCGGGGGACACGCACCCACTTTGCACCCTTCGCTACTCTGCAAAAGGAAGGAAGGGAAGGAGGGGGGGGGCGAGAAGAAGAGGGCGAGCAGGGCGCGGGCAACGTGGCTGCCAAAAACGGCTGTCGTGAAGACAGCCGCCGGGGATGATTTCAATTACTTCCGCTGGCTTCCGCTCCATCGGAACACGAGCTTGCTTCCGCCGGCCACCGCCTGCATTTACTCCGCCATCGCCCGCCGGATTCCGCCGGCCTCGATGTTTTTTTTTTCCGTGGGGCAACCGCGCCAGGCGCAGCTCGAGCCGAGATCCTTTGCACCGCGCATCCATTGCGAACGCTACCATGGGGCGCCCACTTTCCAGGCCGCGGGACTGCCGGCACGCCAAAGGCGCCAGCGCTACTTCGCGCAACAGGGACCAATGCGCAATCCTCTATTTTCGGCGGCGCGCCGACGAGGTAGGGGGAGGGGGGGGGGGCTTCTGAAAAAAAGGCAGAATTCTTATTGCAAGGCAGGGCTTCCCGGTTTCTAAGTCGCACCCTGCTTTCTGAGACGCCGCCCCCCCCCCCAATCCACTCCTCGGCGCGCCGCCGAGAACCCTCGCTCAGGACTCCCCGTCCACTCCGAAAGGCGGCTCCGCGCCGAACGCCGCCGCCGCCTCGGAAGCTGCGTCGGCAAACGGTTCGGGCGCGCCCGCCTCGGCAGCGCCCGCCCCGCCGCCCCCCGCTGCTGGGGGCTCTGCCGCCACCTTTTTCAAATTATCAATCAGCCTCGTCGTCTTCTCGTCCTTCTTCTCCCCCTCCAGCATGAGGAGGCTCGCCTGGCCCTGGCCCGGGGTCAGCTTCACCACGCGCGCCTTCTTGTTCAGCCAAAGCAGAGGCTCCTTCGGGGACTTCGTGGTCATCGCGATGTCGCCCACAGCGATGACTTCCGGCTCCGTCTGGTGTTTCTTCGGGGCGACCGCAGGCTGCGCGACTGCCGCCGCCCCGTCTGCTGTCGCGCCACCCCCGGTCGCGCTCGACTGGGGCGCCTGCGCCTCAACTCGGCGGAGCGCCGAGGGGGTTGGGGGGAAGGGGGGGGGCTTCTTAGAAGGCGGGGTGTTTCCGAAGAACCCTGAGCCCTCGAAAGGTTTCCAAGAAGCACCGCGCCTCCTAAGAAGCCCCCCCCCTTCCCCCACCCCCCCCGGCGCGCCGCCGATCGACGCCCGAGCCGCCCGACGCCGGCGCCCCGTCTGGCTTCGCCGCCTCGATCGCCCCCAGCTTCGGCTTGCCCGCCGTCTCCTTGGCCAGCTCCTGCTGCGGCTTCTTCTTGGCCTCCAGCTCCTCGACCACCCGGCGGCGACACGACGCGAGCGCGTGGGCCGGCATGTCAGGCGTGACGAGCGGCGCCGCGGAGATCGCCATGGCGCGCACCTCCTGCAACATCTTCGATGGGATGCCTGTATAATCCCGCTCCTTGCTGGCGAAGCCAACTGCGCCGAGCTGGAGGGAGGCCACCTCCGCGAAGATGCTTGCCATGAACTTCGAGCGCTGCTCCTGGGATCGATCCCGACCCTCGTGGTTCTCCAGGGGCCCCTTCCCTGGCCCCACCCTGTCCATGGGCCCCTTCGCTTGGAGCTCGTCCAGGCGGACGTGCAGAGCCCCCAAGCCACGAACCACGGGGTTCACCAAGGATTCCTGCGCGCCGCCCTTGACCACGTGCTGGACGGCGTTGACCGCGTTCTGGATTGCGCAATCCTTGTACCGAGCGCCATTTAGCAGCAGACCAACCGCCTGGTCCAGGTCTCCGGGGAACCGCGCCTCGAGCAGGCTGAACTCGTCCAAGGCCATCTTCATGAGATGCGCCAGCCTGGGCCCGGGCGAATTCGCCATCATGGCCTTCGCGAACTCCAGCTCCTTCTTCTGATGCTCGTCCGCCTGCGCATTGCCGAGCAGCGAGATGATCAGCTCCAGCCTGGCCCTGCTGTCCGCGTTGCCCGCCTGCAAAGCGGCCGGGCCGTCGCTCTCGCCGCCTGGCTGCTCGCCGCCTGTAGAGGCCTCCTAGATGGGGTCGGAGTAGGCGGGGTCGGAGGATGGCGCCGCATCGACGACACATCGCCGATCCATCGGCGATGCATCGGCGATGCGTCGGCGATGCACCAGCGATGCATCGTCGACGTCAGCGATGAATCGGCGACGTCGACGCGAGGCACATCGGGCTCCACATCGAGCCGCATCGGCGATGCATCGGCGATGCGGCGCGCTCCTTCGACCCCATCTACTCCGACCCCACCCAGGAGGAGCCTGGTTGCTCGCCGCCTGGCTGCTCGCCGCCTGGCTGCTCGCCGCTGGGCTGCTCGCCGCCGGGCTGCTCGCCGTCGGGCTGTTCGCCGCCCAGCTGCTCGCCGCCTGCGTGGACGCCCGAAAGGGGCACGGAAAAGATGGGTACAATGCCCAACAACAAATGTTGTCCCAAACCAACGGCGGCCGATGTTGGGCAGGCGGCCTTCTGTCTCGAAAGAACACAGGCCGCGGCGGCGTGGACAGCGAGTCCTGTTCAAAATGAACCAAATCCGCTGTTGGGCATTGTACCCACTCTTTCCGTGCCCATTTCGCTCGCGCAGAGCCTGGCTGCTCGCCGCCGGGCTGCTCCGCTGCCGGGCCCGGCGCCGCGCCGCGCCGCGAGCTGGCTGTCTTCGCCGCGGCGAATTGCGCCTCGAACCGGGCCTTCGGGAAGCCAGACAGGAAAGGGCTCCCGGCAAGGGCGTAGATGTGCTTCGGCGGAAGGCCGCGCTACTCGAGCTCGCTCTCTGAGCCCGAGAACTGAACCAGGAGGTCCACTTCGCCGATGCTGCAGATCGCCTGCGCAATCTTCGGGACCAAGGCGGGGTGCAGCTCCTTGGCCTCGCGGAAGAGCGGCGCGAAGTGGCGGATCGCCTCGTGCGTCTTCCCCTTCAGGATCCAATCGACGAAGTATTGAAAGAAATCCATAGACTCAGCGGACAGCTCATTAGCAAACGATTTCTCCGAATCCCTCTTCATGTGGACGGCCTTCTGTTTTTTCAAGTAGCCAACGTACATCTTCGCCCGGAATTGGGCCGTGTCCGTCTCTCCTGGCACGTAGAAGCGGCCGGCCTCGCAAGCCTTCTGGCAGTCCAACCAGAGGGTCTTGATGGGCACGTCGTCGTTGTCCTCGCTGCTGACGTGCTCGGCCAGAGTCTCCCTCCGCTTCCGCTCGGGCGCCGCCTCCGCCCCCCCCGACGCCATGCCCGACGAGGCCGCTGCCGGAGTCGCCGAGGCCGGCGCCGTGCCCGGCGGGGCCGCCGCTAGGCCGGACCCTCCGGCGACTGCGGCGCCGCAACTCTGCCCCGAAGGATGGGCGTCGCCATCCTCGAGGCGCGGTTTCTTCGAGCCCCTGTCCTTCGTAGCTCTCCAACCGATCGCGCGCCTGATGGTCCCGCGCGCGCGCGGCCCGGCGGGGGCGTGAGCATCCAAGACCCACGCCCTGTCGTGGTCGACTCCCTGGGCCTCGCTGGGCCCGAGAAGCCAGAAGCTGACTCTTTTGTCCTTCCCCGCATCCGGGAAAGCCTCTTTCTGCACCAGCCGCACCTCCCGTTCTTCTTTGACGAACTGCGTCACTCTGTCGGCCCACTCTTTGAACGTGCGCATGCCAATTTTGGTGAGCCCCAGCTTCTTCAGGGCCCCGCAGAGCTTGAAATGCACAGGGCCATCGGGGTCCACATCCGCGCCTTTCTGTTTCATCTCTCGCAAGGTGTGCCAGTAGCTGCTCGCCAGGGGGCCCGCTGTGGGCACCTCCTCCATCGCTGCATTGACCGCCTCTGGGGTCGGCGGCCCTTCATTCGCCATGGCGGCCTGTGGCGCAAGCGCGAGCGATAATCTCAGGTTTCAGAAATCTCTGGCTTGAGACGCACTGCGCGGCAGCGTGTTACCCACCACGCCAGACATCCTGGCGTCGTGAAAACATCATGACGGGAAGCTTTTCGTCATTCTCGGCCTCTGGGGGCCCTCGGAGGGCCCCGGGGCCGTCAGAAAAACGACTCAGCACGAAAATCCGGTCCCAGGGAAGGCCTCCAGACCTCTAGGGGCCGACGCATTGAACAAATCACGACGTCGGATGTCTGGGACAGTGTCGACCTTGCGTCGACGTTGCCTTGTTGCGTCGATCCTGCGTCGACCCTTGTTTTTGCGCAGGCCCGCCTGCAGGTGCGACGATCCTGCGTCGATCCTGTGTCGATCCTGCGTTCCAACTCAGGAAGCAGACCGAGTTCGGGCATCCAGATGCTTGAGACTAGCGCTTCTGATGATTCATTTCCTTTCGATTGCTCTGCCACACACCTCTGTAGCGTATCTGCAGCTCGAATTATCTCATGAAGGTCATCAAAATCTCTGAAGACATGGCAGAGTACAAATAGTTTTCCGAACCCAGCTCTGGTAGCAGACCGAGTTCGGGCATCTAGATACTCGAGACTAGCGCCCGATCCTGTGTCGATCCTAAGTCGATCCTGCGTCTATCCTGTGTCGATCCTGCGTCGACACCCCGTTGTTGCGTCGATCCTGCGTCGTTCCTGCACCGAGTCTGCGTCGATCCTGCGTCGAATCCTGCGTCGACCCTGCGTCCATCCTGTGTCGATCCTGTGTCGATCTTGCGTCGACACTCCGTTGTTGCGTCGATCCTGTGTCGATCCTGTGTCGATTCTGCGTCGATCCTGTGTCGATCCTGCGTCGATTCTGCGTCGATCCTGTGTCGACCCTGTGTCGATGCGTCGATTTTGAGTCGACGCTGTGCCGATGTTGAGTCGATTTGTCGACTTTGAGTCGGAATTGTGTCGGTCCGTCGATGTTGTGTCGATTATGTGTGCATCCTGCGTCGATCTTGCATCAGAAGGAGGCCCCCCGGCCCTTCCCCCGCGCCCCTGTTTTCCCCCGGGCGCCCACGCGTCTACGTTCGGAGAGCCCCGCCTTCAGGCCATGCCGCAGCCCTCGCTGCTAAATCATCGCCATGGGGGCCCATTTCCGGATCTTGCCGTCTGCCTCCTCGTTCCCCGTTCCGCCGCCAGGCACCCCCATCCTCAGCAGGTCGGCCTTCAGTTTCTCAAGCTCATTGAAAGAGAAGGTGGCTCTGGCAGGGCTGGACTCGGCAAACTTGTTAACCTGGACCCTGTACAACATCCAAGCGCGAAGGACCAACGGGGTCCTGTCCCTGGCAAGGGCGTCATCGCCGTGGTGTTTGAGCGCTGCCGCCTTCGATCTATGCACTCGCTTCCCCATGAATTCCTCGCCGCGCCGCCGCTTCAAAACGCTCGCCTTCATATCCCCGTACTTCACCGGGTTCTCTGACAGCGCGAAGTAGCCGTTGTTGAACAGCGTCCAAGTCCCAGGGAGCGCCCTGTCCGAGGGAGAGCCGCCATCGGCGCCCTCTTTGTCGTCGCCCTCGTCGTCCGCACCCTGCTCGTCTAAGTCGCGCACGAGTTCCTCGGCCTCCTCCTCTGCCCCTCCCTCCATCTTGAGCAGCAGGCTCTCGCAATCCGAGCCGTCGCCCACTGCTGCGTCGCCCACGTCGGCCGCGCCGGCGTCTGCCTGCGCGCGCGGGACAACCGCGGGGGCGCGGTGCTCCAGCAGGGGCGCCACGCACTTGATGGCCATGCCATCCGCTTCGCGTCGATCCCGCGCGCGCACGCCCGAACGGCAGCATCGCCATGGGGCACGTTGCGCGTCTTTGCCAAGCAGGCGGCGCCGAGGAAGCCAGCGACGTAGTTGGCGTGGGCAGGGAGGATGTACTCATTGCACCCTGGGCGGGAATTCAGCAATGGCAGGCACCGGCACTCTCCGTTTAGACAACAGAGGAAGCACGACACCTTGTGTTCCCAGGCGCCGCGCTGCCATAGCAGCATCGCATACCCAGATGGGAGGTGGGCGATTTTGCGCTCCCACAGCGGCGGCTCCTTCGCAATCTTCGGCCCCGGGCGGGCAACGGCCGCGAGGCCCTCCCTCGGCGTCACTCTGCGGCTAAACTGCTGCCTCTCCACGGGGGCTTCTCGGAGACAGTGCCAAAAAAAGCCGTCGTTCGTGTCTGGCCACTCGAGCCAGTCCCGCTGCGTCACAGGAACGTACGCCGCGTTGGCCAGCCGGGCCAAGCGGGCAGCCTCGCCCTGTCGAGCTGCGACCTCCGCTTCCAGGTCGGCTGCGTGCGCCTCGACTTGTGACCGCAGCGCATCCTCATCGCCCTCGTGCACAAGAGTCGAAGAAAGGACGCCATTCCGCAGCGGATCATCGCTGTAGCGACAGCCCCTCGGCCGAGGGACTAAGCGCGGCCATCTCTGCCGAGCCAGCGACCAGATATTGCATCTCTTCAACGAAGATGCCCGTGTGGCCGCCCGCATCCTGCAGGCCAGGAAACGCTCCCTCTCGACACGGTACTGGTGGAGCAGCTGATTCCGCGATGCTACCGCCAGCGACCTCGCCTTCGCATGGCCTGGCGCCCTGTCCCGATGAACCCTTCGTTCTGCGTCGAGACTATTGGCCAAAATGGAGCCGAGCACTTTATCGATTTCATCCTGCACTTCATCTGCCATCAACCACATCGCTGCGTCGCTGGGACTCCTGCAGCGCCAGGCCTCCCGCTTCAACGCCAGAGAGTAGCCCAAGTCTAAGTCGTCGTCGGGCACCTGCAAGAATTCCTCGCACTTTCGGGGGTAGCCCATGGGATTGTGCCGCCGAGACATCATCCACAACTTCCCTGGAAAACGCCCGCACATATCAAACCGCATGACAATGTGCGCTTGCGTAACAAGCAAAGCCGTCAAGCATGCGGGAACACCGAGCTTCTCGTCCACGCACAGTAAAGGTAACAATCGCCTCAGATGTTTCCCCGTGTGTTTTTGGATGTCTCCTTGCGCGATCCCCACGAAGTGTGGCCTTGGGTCGCCCACCTTCGGCTTGCTCTGGCTTGCCATGCTGACAACGCGGTGGCTCAACTGTAAACGCAACGACGCTTTCCGCCGGTCCGAGGAGGTCTGTGGATGGCAGAAAAAAAAACCCGCATTGCTTCGATGCGGTTCGCGCCCTGGGGCCGAAGGCGCCCCTTCTGCCTTGGAGGCAAGTCTTTGTCTTTGCCAAGCCCCAACATATCCATCAAAAAGAGGGCCCACACAGCAGGCGCAAATAAGAAAAACGTGTCGTTATAGGCTTCGATTGGATCTTGAGCACCAGGGGAAGCAAATCTGAAAAAGGTCACCACACACGCTTTCCTTATCCACCTCCTCCGAGGAGCACTGTTCCATAGCAAGGGCGCTCCAATTCAAAATCGTTCGCAGCGATGGTGGGATGACGCCGTGGCCGTGGAGCTCTTGCAATTGAAGCGAACGCCGGCACATCTCCTGCGATGCGGCATCCGCCCCATCCCCTGCCATGTGCATTCGGCTCAATATGGACGCCCGGAGGGTCGCGGGCATTCCTTCCGCGCGCCCCGAAATCACACACTTAAGCGCCCTGCAAGCGGCAGCACAAAGTGCGTCTGAGTTCAGCGGGCCCTGTAAACATCGGCCACAGATGGCGCACTGCACAACCAAGTTTGCCTTATGAGCTGCACATTTGACCACGACCCAGGCATATCTGATCCCCAGCTGGCGTTCCGCAGCATGGAGGAAAGCAAACAGCCGTTTGCAAGCCGCCTCGTTCGTGGCAGCGGCATCGCCAATGGCGACGTGGACGACGCGGACGGTAGCGCGCGGGCACCCATCCTTGATGGCACGGGCAATGCTCTCGAACACCTGGATTAGACATTCTGCAATCGTGGGCGCGTCCTTGACGGACATGCCCATCAGCTCGGTGAGCACTGGCACCCGCGTCTGTCCAAAATCTACGCAGACCGCCTGATTTTGCACCTTGGAGTATCGCCCGACAGTTCTGTTTTGTAGCTCAGGCCAAAAAGCCCCGTCGATATCAACATATTTCACTTTCATAGCTGCCTCATCGTGCACGTGCACCACGACGAGACAGGACGTCTCCTGCCCATCGCGGTTCAGGGTGCGACTTGCGTCCTGGGACTGCGCAGCAATGACATCGTGGTTGATTTGTTCAGCACCTGGGCAAACGCATCCCTTGTTATCGCAATCGAGGTTGCTGACGCGTTCTGGACTTCTGCGATTGGGAAGTCACGGGACAATTTCTCAAATGTCTGGCATGGCGCGCTCGGGGGACACGCGGCTATTTTCACCCTCCAAAGATTCGATATCCTCCAAGCATGCTTGGCCCTGACAAGACATTTCAATTCGCTTCCGTGGCGCCTCGCTTGGGTTTTCCATTGATTGGCTCTCTTCCTCATGCTCGCCCAGGCCTCGGAATCTCGAGCCCGCGTCTTCGACCCCCTGTCTGGCACCTCGAACTCGGCCGATAACGCTTCGATCAACGCCCTGGCCGCGGACTTAGACCGGGCCGCGCCATTGAGGTCAGCAGCTGCAGTTTGGAACTTGAGTAGGCCTGTGCGCAATGCGAGAGCAACCGTCGAAAGTTTGTTCACATGCTACGAAAGCAATGTGAGGGATGAAAGAAACGACCCTACCCTGGATTACAAGCGCGTGGTCTGTAAACGCCCTGGGACCCCCAAAGCCTAGAGCCGCCAGGACGCGGCACACCACGCAGGGTTTACCCTGTCAGCCCACAGGAGTTTCAGAGCACAGCGCCTCGTAAACCAGGGTCGGGGCTGTTTTTTTTCTGCCCCTCAGCAATGGCCCGCAATGCAATTGTGGCCACCCTGAACCATCTTGGCAACGGACGAACGAGACCAGGGCCAATATGATTGGACGAGGCCAGGTTATTGGAAAATACACGGTCAGCGCTGGCACTGG